ATTGTTTGCAAGTTAGGCATGCGGGATATCTATGTACCAACTTGAGGGGGAGTGTTATGTTATGCTTTGTATTTAGCCTAAGGGTATTTTAGCACTTGTGTTTATACATATAAGCTGGGATTAGTTGTGTGGTGTAACACACATTCCTAGACATAATTCTTGCCTCTCTTTCTCTTCCCCAAGTTCTTTTCTCTCTCTCCGAAGCCTAAAATGTCACAATCTAATTGGTACCCTAAATTGACACACATTAACTATATATGAAATATTGGGTTGTGTAATAGTGAGGTAATTCAATTCCCAACTAATCAATGATATCTCCTAGGATATTCAAATAACTCCTTTTTGTCTACCATAAGTTTGTGCTGAAGATCCATCAGAGTATTGACTACTCAACAACTTAGTAGGACTGTTTCTTCTAACACATCAAGACCTTATTTCCTTTGCAACAAACTAATACCCATGTTAGATCTAGCAACTTCGATACCAAGAAGTATCTAGATTTTCCCAAAGTCTTTAGCGTGAAATTGATCTTGCAAAAATTGTTTCAATTTAACAATACCCTCAGACTCACTTTCAGTAATCACAATATCATCCACATACACCATGAAAATAAATTAACCCAAATCCAAAATTAACGATGAAAAACAGAACAATCCGTTTAACACCAGTGGAGTCCAAAACCTAGTACTACCTCACAAACTTTCCAACCCATTCTCTCTATGACTGTTTCAAACCATGCAAAGATTTCTTTAACATGCAGATACTACCATGATACTCCCTTGAGCAACAAACTTAGGTGGTTGGTCCATGTAGACCTCTTCAACTAAATCACTATGTAAGAATGCATTTTTGGCATCTAGCTGATATAGGGCCAATCAAAGATTAGCATGCAAAACAATTATAGCACGAACAGAGGAAATCTTGGCAACTGTAGAAAAGTTCTCTCATAATCAACTTCATATGTATAACACTGAGTGATCAAATGAGCTTTTAAATGTTCCACAAAACCATGGATTAAATTTCACCGTTTACACCCAATGACATTCATCAATTCTTTCACTGGGTGGCAAATATTAAAATTTTGTTGTAGTGCATAATTTCAGTGAGTTTGGAAACAAAAATGTTTTAGAAATAAGATGGAAACAAAGAAAAAATTTAAAAATTTGTTTCTGAAATATTGGTCGAAACATATCGAAACACCTCAAAACACACCAAAACACTTCGACACATAAGAATTTTGATATTCAATCAATGATTTATTTTAGTTTTTATGAAAACAGAAACGTCTCAAATGTTTAAGTGGCGGGAGGTAAGGAAATAAGATCCCAGTACCACTATGATGCAAGACAGCCATCTTAGCTTCCATTGCTTTCCTTTATCCGGGATGAGATAAAGCATCTTGAACATTCTTAGGAATAGAAATAGCAGACAATTGAGAATTAAAACTAGTAAATGAGGGAAATGAGGAAGGACGTGAAACAAAACTATTGATCAGATGATAAGTTACAGAAAAGTGAGGAATACTTGGATCTGTGGATGACAAGGAAGATGATGGATGCACTATGGTAGGTGGTCATGCCCGACGACTGTAAACTCGTAAGGGAGTAGTAGCTTGTCTCATTGGTGGAGAGCTTGAATACGAAGATAGAATAAGGTGTGAAGTGTAAAGAGAGTTTGTATCCCACATCAAAAAATTAGGACCGCGCAAAGTTGGTTTATATGCGTAAAAGGGCTCTCCTCTCATTGCCAATAGCTTTTGAGTTGGATGCTCTAGCATGATATTAGAGCTGACTCTTAGTTATCAATGAGTCAAGTCTCTTACTCATTTAAATTTTTTGATTTGTATGGGTCTTTTTTGTCTATTTGTTTTGTAGCCCTATGTGCGTGCCTGGTTCCCACGTGAGGGAGGGTGTAAAAAGAGTTTGTATCCCACATCGAATAAGTAAGACCACCCAAAGTTAGTTTATATGGGACCTCTCCACTCATTGTCAATTGATTTTGAATTAGATTATCTAATATAAAGGGAGAAAAATACTACTTGCACGCAATGAAGATTCTCGGAGTGGAAGTGGAAGTAGAGCACATGAAGGGGATGACTCAAATTGANACATAAAGGGGGAAAAATACTACTTGCACGCAATGAAGATTCTTGGAGTGGAAGTGGAAGTAGAGCACATGAAGGGGATGACTCAAATTGAAGATCAATATCATAATAAATAATAAACAAGTATGGAAGAGACTCTTCAAAACACATTTAGTACCATGAGGACCAAGCTTATTAAAACAGGTTATAAACATAACATACCCATCCAAAAACACGGTGTGAAATGTGGAATAAAACAGAATTAGGAAACAAAATAAATTTGGAGATATCCCATGTAAAATAAAGGTAAAGGCATGCGATTAACGAGGTAACATGCTGGGAGACAATATCACTCAAAAATGTTTTGGAACATGCATACAGAGTAAAATAGCTTGATACATCCAATAAATGGCGATTTTTGTGTTCGGCAACACCATTTTATTGTGGTATTTGAACACAAGATTTGATATATATGCCTTTATCACGAAAGTAAGAAGTAAAAAAATTATATTGATACATTTTGGCATTAGCAAAACACAAAATACGAAGGCGACAATCAAATTATGTCTTAATCTATACATGAGATGTCTTCAATACATAAAATAACTTAGGAGGGGCTATCATCTAAAACCATTATGTCACACAGTGGTCAATCCATAATTGTCACAAAATAACAAATATCCATTAATTGAAATGTGCTTTATCAGACCCTAGACATAGCAATGAAAAAGCTCAAAAGGATTAGAAGGACGATTATTAACGCTAGACTCAACAAGAAACACGATGATGTTACTAAACTTACATATGCAAAGTTACCTCCTTAGCAAGACCAGTGGTAGGAACGGATAAATGTGGAGAAAATGAAAATAACTACTGGGTGAGTTGACTGCTAGATGCAACCGGACCATTGATAGTGTTAGAGTTTTTATTTCAATTTATTAGTAGTGTACGGTAATATTAGGATGTGTAACTGTAAGGGAAATCAGCTTACCAACCAACCTCGATTACACTCTATATCATTAAACACTTCACCGTTATTAGCATCCAATTTAACCGTGGAGTCCATGGGAATATCAGTTGAATGTGCACTAAGAGTACTACTTTTTGACAATAAATCTAATACATACTTTTATTGGCACAAACTGATACCTTTCTTTGACCGACCAACTTCAATCCCAAGAAAATACGAAATAAGACCTAAGTCTTTGGTATGAAAATGCTTTCCCAAAATGAATCTTAAAGTGGACAATACCATTTGAGTCATCACCATTAATGATAATGTCATCAATATACATAATAAGAATAGTAACACTTGTGGAAGAACGATGAATAAATAATAAATGGTCTGAAGTAGAGTGCTAAAAACCATACTGAAGAACAAGAGTATTGAACTTATTAAACCAATCACGTGGTGATTGCTTCAGACCATATAGTGCTTTCTTCATATGACACACTAATTGTTCTTTACCAGGTAAAATATAACCTGGAGGTTGTATCATATATACCTCCTCCTACAGACCTCCACGTAAAAAGGCATTCTTGATGCACAGTTGATATAGAGGTCAATCACAACTCACGACGACTGAAATAAGAACTTTAACAGAGTTAAGACGAGTAACAAGAGAGAAAGTCTCACAGTAGTTCACACCATATGTTTGAGTGTAGCCTTTGACAATCAGACGGGCCCTTACATGCTCAATTGAGTCATCTGGATGATACTTCACTTTGTAGACCCAACGATAACTGATAAGTTGTTTACTAGAAGGAAGAGAAGTAAGGTCCCATGTATGATTCTCATTAAGGGCTTTTATTTCCTCATCAGGCTTTGATATATTTTTTTTTTTGCCAAGATGATTCGCTCTGATACTAAGTTGAAATAAAAATAACAATAATATTTGGGTTAGAAAAGAAGGGGGGAAAGAGAAAACAAAAGAGAAATTAAGAATAAACTGTGTGTTGGCTTTGTGTTGCCCTACACCCTTATTTATAGTAGAGAAGTATATAGGCTAACTACAATATTTCCCTACGGAGCAAATTACAACTAATAATTAAAATAAGAACTCTAACACCCTTTTTCTATCCTCTCAATATTGACAAAGCCTCTCCAAAATTACTCTTGCAAACACCTCCTTATTCCACACCTTTAATCTTTGTTTAACAAACTCTAAGTTTATTCTTAAAATTAAAGCCTTCCCACCCTTGAAACTCACCCTTCAACCACCATTCCCAACAAATCTTACCCCTAAAAGCATTAGGCTAAACTTACATGTTTTCAAACTTAAATGGACTTGGGCCTCACCTCCTCTTAAGAGTCCAGGAGAATAAAAGGATTATGGTCTAATAGTACTCTAGACAAAGCCTCGTATCTAACCCCTCGAAAATAATCCTCTCAATCTACAAAAAACAAGAACCTATCCAACTGTTTACACACCAACCCACTCCAGAAATTAGACCATGTAAATACAACATTGGCCAACGGTGAGTCCCTAAGTCACATTTTCCAAATAAAGATGCCAAAATCTTCATACTTTGTGTTACTTAGCCCCCATTCAACCTTTCCACCAGATACCTAATAAAATTAAATTCCCCCCAAGACACTATCGTGGACTACAAACCCCAAACAAACCCACAAGCACTTCCCATAACAATACTCTAAAGTCTAAACCTAGGTTTGTTAGGTCCATATACCTTGTAAACCACCACACTGAACCATCCTTATGTCTAATTCTAAGTTACAGTTAATTGTTGGGAACAATAATAAAGAAGAAAGAAGAGGATGAATAACTAGACCAGCTATTCTTCGGAACTTCTATATATTACTTGGATTTAAGTAAAGTTGTTTATCCATAAAAAGTATGTTTCCGTTCATCCACCCAATAGTGTTAGGTTCTCAATACTACAAAGGCTTTAGGATAGGATGTCTAAAGCTGTTTATCTTCTGAGGATAAACATGAAATATAGCATTCGTTTTGAAACAAGCAGTGGCTTCTCAAGACGTGTTTATGGGGTGTTATTAGCAAGAGCTTTAGCAGGAACTTTGCAAAGTTCATTCTATGGACCTACCAAACATTTTTTACACTTTGGATCCACGTTCTCTGGGAAGTCCATTCAATGTCTCAGGCGATCAACACCTAAATTGTTCACTGTTGCCCATACTTCACTGAAAAAGACTATACCATGCTACTTGGTTGCTTCACCTAAGCCATGTGACTTGTATGTTTTAGTCTTAGTGCTGCAACTATGAAGAAATGTGTGGCATTTGGTCTGGGAATAAGCCATGGTTGCAGCTTCAAAGTAACCTTTTGATGTTTGCTTGGATTCATGTTATGCATTCAATGTGGAGTTCATATGCTATGTAGGTCAGTGCAGCTGCATTGACCACATTTAGTGATTCAGCGTCTTTTTGCTGTCACATTTCTTTGGTGTTCTACTGTCCTTGAGTAACTGAATGAGGTGGAATGTAAGGATAAATATTTCATTTAGAAATGGCCGAAACAATGTTTTCTTGGAAACGGGAATGACTCAGTAATTGAATAACAAAATTTCTATGTTTCGAGTTGTCTCAATGTGTTTTGACCAATTTTTCGGAAATAAATTTTCAATTTGTTTCTCAGTTTCCAAGTGTCTAAACAATGCACCAAAACAAAATTTTTGTCATTTGTATTGGGATGTAAAAATGGTAGGCATGAATGCATTTTAATAAACATAAATTGATAGATGTAGGATCAAGACTGGCAGAAGATCATTTTAACAATTGTGAAATTTAAGCCTTGTCACCAGACAAAGGCTAATTCTTAGCACTTTCTGTTTTGATACCTCAGTTCTAAACATGACACAGTTCCATTCTGACACATGATTTTGGCATTCTAGAAGTGTTATCATACTTGCCTCTTGTTTCTCTCAATGACAAATTATAAAAGTAGATCACAAAAAGTTTTATATTGTCATTTCCCAAGAAGGAAGAGATTCAGAGAAGATGAATGAAGGATCATAGCTAATCAATAACTAACATACCTAGCTTACACTTAATTCTATTTGTGTAATACTACTATAAAAGACTCCCAAACAAAATAAGCAGCATAATTTCAACTGTAAATTTTGATTGTAAATAAAAGAAATGACACTCACATTTACTGAAACGACCTTAAACAAATTCAAACATGATGAACTATTTTGTACAGGTGACATGCCTTTAGATTTATACTTTGTGTGTACCAAGGAAGGATAAAAATATTGTTTCGAAATAGTCAAAACGTCCAAAATATTTCCGTTTCCAAGGAGACCGAAACAAAATAGCGATGAAATTAAATTCTAATATTTCGAGGTATTCCTAATGTTTCGAGATGGATTATAATATTTCAATGCATTTGCACTATTGTTTTAGAATGTTTCAAGATATTTTGATATATTTCAATCAATGTTTTAGAAAAATAATTTTTATTTATTTTTTATTTTTTTCATTATATTTTTGAAACGGATCGAAACGTTTCTGAAATACGTTGAATATTTTTGTTTTTTAGGTGATTGAAACAATACAGCGAAACGAAATTTTGATCCTTGGTACCAAGTTCCGGTTGCTTGTACCTAGACCACTTTATTTAGGTGATATTTGTCTACACATTCTTTTCCCCGTTTTCCTCCCTTTCTCCTGTCAAGATCTTTATGGGGAAAATGGATGGATCATGTGGACTGATCATAGCTTGGTCAATGCGATTCACTATCTGCTTATTTCTCCCTTTTTAAACACCTTTTTCTAACTTAGAATTGTTTATGTTTGTGCATCCTGATCACCTTGTGTTTTGCTTGAATGGAATAGGTGAGACACATGTTTAAGGAAATTGACTACATACTGGAGGGTCAAAATGCTGATCGCTTTGCTTCTCTCTATGCTTGCAACTTCAGTAAGTCCTTCCCTACTCGATATAGCTGTTGTATAATTTTCTCACTTAGTTCTTTTATTGGTGAATATGGCTTATGGGTTCTTGATAAGTTTTAGTAAGAGTCTGTAAGCATAAAAAAATCTTGCTTATAATGATGCCCCAAAGCTTTCCTTTTTTTGGCAGCTTAGTATCTTATGTAGCCTAACAACTCATAAGTATAGTTTGAGACATTTTCAAACTGGGGCTAGGGAATGAGTAGCACAATGATTTTCACTTTAACCTTTCAACTCCATCGGGCGTTTAATCGTTAAATACTACCTCATTAAATCTGGCTTCCCAATTACAACACATGCTCTCCTTGCCTAGCAATAAGTTTCAATGTGGAGTTTATGTGCCACACAAGAACCTAAGTTTCGTTTCGAAACAATCAAAATAGTGAAAATGTTTCCATTTCCATGGAAACCGAAACCGATTTGACTTAAATGATTCGGTGGTTGAATATCGAAATTCAAATGTTTTGAGGTGTTTTGAAATGTTTCGACTTTCAAGGTATTTCGAGATGTTTCGGTGTGTCTCAACCAACATTTCATAAACAATTTTCATTTTTTTTTTCAAATTCATTCTCTTTTTGAAATGTTTCCAAAACATTTTAGTTTGATATGTGACTAACACAATGTGCTGAAACAAAATTTGATCCTTGATTCCATGCCACTATTACGATCAAGCAATAAGTCACCCTGGTGATGTAATTTAATAAAATGGAATAGAAGAAACTGACTTTTTTTGCTGAATTCAGTATGAAAAACTGATTTTTTTTGTTGAATTAGGTATGTCTGTGAGTTTTCTTATTTGTGATTCACATGCTATCATTGCATACGAGATAGTACTTTTTCCTATGCTTTTGTATTTTCCAATGTGCTCTGTCTCTGTCTCTTTCTCGTCGTGTGATATCTTGGTGTCAGCTTTTGTCTGCCTTGTTTGTACTAACTTTTCTCCTGCATAAAAAATGGACAAAATTTATTTTTGATCGGCAGATAATGAGAAGACGAGTACAGCTGGTGATACTGTTGAATACCAGAAAGCAAATGGTATTAAAGTTCCGAAAATATATTGGAAGCTTACCCGTAAAGCTGTGCTTACTATGGAATGGATTGACGGGATTAAGCTTACAGATGAAATACGTCTAAAAAAGGCCTCTTTAAACCGAAAGGAATTGATTGACGAGGTATTGAGCTTCTATGGTTTTGCCATTATTAGTTCTATATTCTCTTTCTTATTTTCATTTTTTTGTTATTATGTTTATTTTCTGCTTATTTCAAGAAATTACATCTTACATCAGGTTTTTTCTTAGCTTATGCTATATATTTTGAGTGTTTTTTTTCTATGGTTTCTTAGGGGTTATATTGCTCTTTGAGGCAATTGCTTGAGGTGGGCTTTTTCCATGCTGACCCCCATCCAGGAAACCTTGTTGCAACTGAGGATGGATCTCTTGCTTATTTTGACTTTGGAATGATGGGAGATATTCCACGCCACTATCGCGTCGGACTTATTCAAGTGGTAAGAATAATATATAATGTTTTGCTGAGAAAGCACTGTAAAGGATGTTCATGCGTGGTGCTTGTTTACTGTTAATGTAACTTGGTTAGCACTCTTTTATTCGTTTTCATCCGGTAAAGTTTCTATCTCCATGGTCCTAATCGCAATGCTTCCCAGCTTTCATTAAATGGCCGTTATCTGTCTTTTAACTAACTAGGGGCGAGGCACGTGCGATGTGAGCACACATGTAAGATTTGAGAGGAAAAGAGAGTGTGGGAGAATAGATAGTTAATAGTTAGTGCACATGCAATAGGTGAGTTTTTTTTGGCTGTTTACAGGCATGTGAGGACTTCTGTGACCGTCTTTTTTTATGCCTTATTTAGAGGTTTGTACTCAATGCATTACTGCACGTGGTTGTTTAGTTGATTACTAGCTCCACCCGGTATTCTTGGAGCTGCTTTTAACTCCACTCGGTGAGTTGAGTTCTTTTTAGTGGAGGGGGATTCATGCAACATCTGTTGGCTGGTTGGACTAGTATCGTAGGCTTTGGGGAGCAGAAACCAAAAGCTATGGGTCCCATGACAAGCCAGGAGTCTTTTTGGCCTAGAGGAAATTGTTCTGTTGTTTTTTGTAGTCTTTATTTATTATAGCTTAGTTATGTTGCTGATCAGTTCCTAATCCCGTTTATTTTAATTTTTCCTCATTAAGTATGTGTGTAATCCCGTTGATTCCATGAAGTTGATGATGAAAATTCTGATCGTTTTTTGTGATAACCTTTGTGAGGAGCTGAGGATGGTTTGTTATTCTTCCTTTTCTCTTTTCCTCCGCCTCCTTTGTCTTATCTTATAAAATCCTATTTGTTTAGGTTAAATAAACTTTAGATCGAATCTGAATTGATCATCTATGCTATCATAAGATACACAATTTGAAGCCTAGATCTTGTCTCTTCCAAACCTAAAACCCTAGCAACCAAAAACCACTTAAACAACAAAGTTACGGTTCCCGGATCACTATTCACAGCAGTAGAGCAGTCCCTAAAACAGCCTTTAAATCCTTTCTCCTATTTAGCAAAGCCCTAGGGACCAGGTTCCGTCCCTTCCCATCCTTTTCCTATTTTTTGGCCTTCAAACAAACTCTTACACAAGGATTACAATTTCGCTTCGGTGCATTGTTTCTGTCACCTAGGAAATGGAAACGTTTCTACCCGTTTTGGAAATAGAATGAAAAAAAAAAAATTTAAAAATTATTTTTTTAAAACATTGGTCGAATTATATCAAATTATCTTAAAATATCTTGAAACATTCTGAAATAATTGTGTAAATGCATTGAAATATTACAAAACACCTCAAAATATTATGAAATACCTCAAAGTATTTGAATTTCGATTACATTACTGATTTGTTTTGGTTTTCTTGAAAACGGAAACGTTTCAACCGGTTTGAAACGAAATTTTGACCTTGCTCTCACAAACCCTAGTAGGTTGCTTTTTAGATTTTCAATACTCCTATTGTTACCGTTGAATATCTTTTTTTAATGACTTCAACCGTAGGAAAGTGTTTTCCCTCGCTTGTCCTACATCAGAGAGGCTTGACCATATTTAAATTTTTATTAGCTGAGACTTCAAACATGAAAGTTCAAGAGCCTGGAACTTGGCAAAGATCCTCTTCCCCTAACAACAGGTTCATTGTATTTTCAAAACAAGGAAAGGATGATCAATGTAGTGTCACCTGAAATTCTTATTCAAAACAGTTGATCCTTGTGAATCTATACACTATATAAAAGAGCCAACGCATCTTTTGTTACTCCACTATTGATGCTTGGGGGCCCACATTTCTTATCTCAACACATGTGGCACATATGGCCTTCCTTTTGATACAGACAACCAACGATATTTTGACATCTCATATCACAACTAAGTATAGAACACAAACCAAGCAACAGTTTGGCTATTGGCTTAACCATGGTTAGTCTTATTTGTTTCTGACAGTAACTAACTAATAATTTGTGGTTATTTTCGAAAGCAGAACATTTGGGAGTAACATTTATCTTCTCAGACTGATGAATGTTTCGCATTGAGATGAAACATGATCTAGGTATCTATTGTTCTGTCTCCGTCTCTCTCTCTCACTCCATTTTTAAATTTATATTTGATAATTTTATTGTCGTTCAAATTAGCCTTTATAAACAAAATTATCAGATATAAATTTAAAAATATATATTAGATATAAATTATCAAATAATATATTCTACTATCCTATTACATTTTTTGGGTAGTTTAAATAGATTCTTTATGATTTAAGGGTTTGAGGACCTGCACTAATTAAAAAGTGTACACATTAGTTCTTTTTTTTTTTTTATGATAGTCAAACTTGGGACCTCAAGTCTTCGAAATGAAGTTAGGGACTCCTAATTATCTTAATGATTTGTGAATTGTACCAACTTCAAGAACTTATATTGTTTGATAGTATTAAGTGCCACGATGTGATAGTGTATTATTGATAACAACCAAGTTAATCGGTGGGATTTCATAAAATATATGTATTGATCTTTTAGTGAGAGTTTTATGCTTTTTTATGTCATGTAGAGTAAAAATTGACCTTTGTTGATAAATAGAACAATCAAATGCTAAAATAAGTTCCCCAACTGACCATAGAAAATAGCAATTATAGGTGCTTTGATCACTTTGAACTTCAAAAAATGTGCCCATTGCTTTTTGGGCTTGGCTTGGCCATTTAGCAGTTTGAGTATTGCTACTTGTTTGTAGCATAGTTGATCTATACATATAAACTCTTTGTGTTATGTGCCGCTAGGGGTGTCAAAATATGACACGAAGCGTTAACACAATACGAAGTTAGAGGGTTTGAGTCTTCTTTAAACCATTTGTTTAATAAACGTGTGGATCCGACTAGACATGATTAATAAATGAATTGAGTATGGGTGAAGCCAATCAAAAAAAAAAAAATACACGACACGACTAGTTTATATACCGGTCATCACACAATTGATACACGACATGAACCCGATATGAGACGACTCGTTAGACACGAATTAATAAACGAATCAGGTATGTATGAAGTTTTTTTGACATGAACCCGTTAATACCTAACACGAACCCACCTTATCCAACACAATTGACAGGCTTAGTGTTGCCCCATACATAATAAGTTTATATTAAACAACTATTTACTCTAAAAGCTTAAGTTGTTAGAGAGAGCATAACTTAAATATTTATACTATAACATGTCCCCTCACGTACATGTTAGATTTTGAGCCTAGCATGTAAAAATCTTTTAATTATCAGGGTAGTGACGAGATTCAAACATAGGCACTCCGACTAATACTATGTTAAGGAATCATCTATTTTAAAATTTTAAATTATTTGAGAGGGTGTAACTTAAGTATTTATATTTCGACCGCATAAATGTGGGAAAGTAAAATAATAATGATGTAGGATTCTCGCAGATTGTTTAGCAGCTCCACCTTATTGGAATTTTGGCAAATTTCCTTTGGTTCGGATACGAAGTTTGAGATTAATAAAATGGACATGTCTAAACATTGGGAAAATTGTGTGGAGAGTCATATGGGGCTCTAGATTGTGGGCAAAATTAGATAAAATTACAAGAATCTATTGCAAATGCCAACGTCTAGAGGTTGGGTGCATAAATTGATAGGCTTATCGTAGAGAGAGAAAGAGAATAGTTTTTACCAAAGCTCTTATTAGAGAACCTTGGATGATAGCAAACTATTATCTCATTGTTCGAAAGTGGCACATTGATTTTTGGCCTTCCTTGGCAACGGTCACTCAAACTGTGGTTTGGATCCTTTTACTTGAGTTCCCTATTGATTACTTCTCAAATAGGGAACTCTTGACAAACCTATTCAAATTGATATAGTCACCCCACATTGAAGGACCAACACTGGGTGATGGCCTTCTTTATTGGTTGGAACTAGCTCTTAATTGTATACATCATGCACATTAGCATGGTTACTTCGATTTATTGTTTGATGCATAAAAGAATATTATATTTCATTTTCTTGTTTAATGCATACATGGTTAATCGACATTCTCGTACCAAGTGTTCCACCTATATTTCAAATTAGTCTCAATACTAGTGTGTGTATTTTGGTGTATTAGTATGTGTATGTGTTTTAGTGTACTAATGTGTGTTTTGGTGTACTAGAGTGTGTATTTGATTTTATTATTTTTGTTATTTAATAGAAGGACAAATACTCAACTCAATAGTTACATTGACCAAAAAAAAAATTCAATGGGTACCCATTTATAATCTATCTTAACCCGCTTAATCAAAATGAGTCTTATTACTCAACTCATTTATTTATGGATGGATTGGGTGGATTAATGAGTAATGGGTTAAGATTGTCACCTCTAATTGTGTGGTTGAGTTTTTGTGTATGTTGAGCTTCATAGTTGACTCTTTCTTATTTTAGTAAATTTTCATTTATGCATAGTTATTGCTTTTCTGGGTTTTTTTTTTTAAGGAGGGTTAGGGAACCCTTGTTTCCTGATTCAACTCATTCTTGTCCAGTCAAGCCAATTTCCTCCAATGCTTACGGATGCAAGCCTTCTTGGATAGTCCATCATTTGAGCCTTAAATTTTTCCTCATAGATGTTTGAGTTTTATTCCTTGAAATGGTTATACTCTTCTATGATGTGGATAGAGGTGTCAGTCACTTCCTTTTTTTCGTTTTTTCTTTATCTATGATGACTACCGATGCAAATTTTTTTGTGTATTCTTTTGGGAGGAGGGAAGAGAAAAGAAGGAAGGAGAAGAAAGGGGGGGGGGGGGGTTCTCATTGAGTGTCATTTTATGCTTAGTTATTTAAGCAATTTTAACCTCTACAAAACAATTAATCAGTTATTTTGCTTAGTATTTCTTTTCATCGTATGCTAGCTCAAGTTGGACTCTGTTAACCTTGCAGCATGTTAACTAGTCAATGTCAGGCTTTGTCATTGGAGGATTTTTTCTTCTTCATTTTCTTCTCTCATGTACTGTAGCTAACAAATGTGGTGGCATTCTTTTTATGTTGATAAGTTTTTTTCTTTCAGCTTGTGCACTTTGTTAATCGTGACTCTCTGGGTTTGGCAAATGACTTCCTTTCTCTGGGATTTATTCCTGAAGGGGTTGACTTACAATCTGTTTCAGATGCCTTGCAATCATCTTTTGGTGATGGGACTAGACAATCCCAAGATTTCCAGGTATTTATTTACAGTATCTTCTCTTCAGCTTTCTTCTAGGATTGGGTTGTTGGTTGTGCTCCTTTATCTGTTGTTTGTTTGTTGTTGTTTTTTGTGGTTGCCGTTGCTGCTATTGTTCTCTCCCCTTTTTTGGCATGCATCATTAAGTCACTATGATAAGAGAGGATTACGTGAACTTATAACATTTCTCTCGTGTTTTCCCCTACCTTTCACTTTCCAAAACCTTCAACTCAAAACCAATCAACAATGACTGGAGAGGCTCAAAAGGCTCATCTACTAGTTTGGGATGCTCTATTATACTGATGTGGGACAAGCGATAAGCTTCCTCGTGCGTGCAACCCCATTGACGTGGAAAGGTAGACAGAAAAGGAAGACTTAATTAGAAACATAACAATGTGCATTTGTGGCACAAACATGGGGGTATCAGTATTTAATGAAGAAATTGTAACAAAGCGTCTTGCGCAATGCCTACGAAAGCCTAGCTCTGATTATTTTGAGACAATGTTAATATATCAAACTCAAACCTATAGGCAATGAGTAGAGAGGCTCACAAGGCTGATATACTAGTTTGGCTGGCCCTATTATAGAGATTCGGGGAAAGCTCTAACAAATACAAGAATTATAAATCCCTCTGTTAGCTTTTTTTTTTTCTTTCTGTTAAACCTTATCTTTGATAGCTTTGAGGGGCATATGATTATGTTGCTGCTTTATGCTTTGGTAAATAGGTAGAAATACATGTAATTTGAGAAGTTCCAGCCATATATCTGTTCCTCTTTCTAATTTTGGACGACCTACTTAACCACAGCATCAACTCCCTTCACCCTGGCGTCTAAAAGAGGGGGTATTGTGAGTCCGATTATTCACTGGGTGCAATTCCTTGTTTNTTGGCAATGAGTAGAGAGGCTCACAAGGCTGATATACTAGTTTGGCTGGCCCTATTATAGAGATTCGGGGAAAGCTCTAACAAATACAAGAATTATAAATCCCTCTGTTAGCTTTTTTTTTTTNTAGGCAATGAGTAGAGAGGCTCACAAGGCTGATATACTAGTTTGGCTGGCCCTATTATAGAGATTCAGGGAAAGCTCTAACAAATACAAGAATTATAAATCCCTCTGTTAGCTTTTTTTTTTTCTTTCTGTTAAACCTTATCTTTGATAGCTTTGAGGGGCATATGATTATGTTGCTGCTTTATGCTTTGGTAAATAGGTAGAAATACATGTAATTTGAGAAGTTCCAGCCATATATCTGTTCCTCTTTCTAATTTTGGATGACCTACTTAACCACAGCATCAACTCCCTTCACCCTGGCGTCTAAAAGAGGGGGTATTGTGAGTCCGATTATTCACTGGGTGCAATTCCTTGTTTCTTTTGTTGTCCCAGCACGTGAAATACAACTGGTATTCATGACTCTTTTAGACAAGAGTTTTTTTCCATCCTTCGTTGCATCTGACACGAGATTATACCGAGCTTCCCTGTACATCATTAAGATCATTTTGGCACAACATGATAAAGAAAGAGTTTCCTACACGTNCGTGAAATACAACTGGTATTCATGACTCTTTTAGACAAGAGTTTTTTTCCATCCTTCGTTGCATCTGACACGAGATTATAGCGAGCTTCCCCGTACATCATTAAGATCATTTTGGCACAACATGATAAAGAAAGAGTTTCCTACACGTTATTAAGATCTTATTGGCATTATGCTCTCCATTAAAAAAAGAGAGAACCCCACTGAAGATGAGAGTGAGGCCATGTCTGTTAGAAGCCCGTCTTACGGNGTTATTAAGATCTTATTGGCATTATGCTCTCCATTAAAAAAAGAGAGAACCCCACTGAAGATGAGAGTGAGGCCATGTCTGTTAGAAGCCCGTCTTACGGTTTCCTTAGAAGCTGCCAGGAGGACTTTTGAGATTTAGAGGAAACTTCTAACGAGTTGATTTTAGATGTGGCTCTAATAGTGTAATTAATGAAAGTGAAATTAGAAGGATGCATCTGCAATGGTGATTGTAGTTTGAATAAAGCTAATATGATTATGTCAGAATTTGTTAATATTGGACTTCTGCTGAACCACTACGCTCTTAGCTTGAGGTAAAAAGTGAGGCTAGGTGCTTAAGTCTGCATTGGGATTGGGTTTTTGTGGTGTTTATCTCACACACGTGCACTCAATTCAACTCAACAAAGCCTTAATCCCAACTATTTGGGGTTAACTACATGAATCCTGTTTCTCCATTGCAGTCTATCAAGGGCCATATGTTCTGTTAGACCATAAGCTATCATATCTTTTTTCACTATTTGTTCACAGTTATTTTAGGCTCACCTTTGCTTCTCACATTACCAATGAAATGTATCAAATCCGTCTTCCTTATTGGTGCATTATTGGTCTTCTATAAACATGTTCAAACCACCTAAGTTGATTCTCTATTAATTTATCTCCTAATGGTGCTATTTTTACATATGTACTCATTTCTAGTTCTTTCATTTCTCGTTTTACCACACATCCATCTTTACCATTCTCATTTATGCAACACTTAGTTTTTGAGCGTGTTGTTTCTTAATTGCCTAACTTTCGGTCCCTTAAAACATTGGTTTAGTTTTTGNACCACACATCCATCTTTACCATTCTCATTTATGCAACACTTAGTTTTTGAGCGTGTTGTTTCTTAATTGCCTAACTTTCGGTCCCTTAAAACATTGGTTTAGTTTTTGTGCGTGTTGTTTCTTAATTACCTAACTTTCGGTCCCTTAAAACATTGGTTTAATGGTTGTGTTATAATACTTACCTTTCAACCCAAGTGGCATACATCATTCACATAATGCTCTAGATGCATTCCTCCATTTAGTCCATCTTTCTTTAATTCTATGATTAACATCATCTCATCTCCAATCTTTCCCTCCCTATGGATAATTGACCCAAAATACCTAAAGTGTTTGTTCTCGAGAATCTCTTGATCTTCGATCTTTACTACCTCTCTATTTGTGTTTTTATTATTATTGAAACTACATTTTATATATTTGTTTTTATTTCTACTTATCCTAAATCCTTTTGATTCTAAAGTTTCTCTCCAAACTTCTAGTTGGTTGTGAGTTGAAATTATAGAAACGGTATTAAGGTATGTCAAAGAAGGAAAAAAGAAGAAAAGGGAGAGTGAATAATCTATGTGTAGGCTCTGTTGCCATACATTCCCTTATTTATAATAAACTAATATGATGAGTAATTACATTATTACCCTATACTACTAATAATATAAAATAAGTACTCTTAACACTTCCCCTCAAGTTGGAGTATACAGATCAAAGATGTCCGGCTTGAAATAAAGATTAGTGAAGACAAATTGAGCCTATGGTTTGTTAATGATGTCACTCAACTATTCACTAGACTTGATGTTTGATGTGATGATCTCTTTTCGCATCAAGAGATCTCAAATAAAATATCAATTCATTTTGACGTGTTTAGTCTTCTTATAATACACTGGATTACTGGCAATGAAAATAGGTGCCTGGTTGTCATAATGCATCTTCATAGGAGAGAACACACTGATACCCATATCGGAAAGTAGAGAACAAATTCACAGCATCTCACACGCAGTGTAAGTCATGTAATAACCCGAAGTAGAC